CCGGGCGCGCCGCGCAAGCCTGAGCTCTCGCTCCCCCGTCCGACGGCTCGGGCGTCCTGCAGCCTCGCCGACGCCCAAGTTGCAGTGGGAGCTCTGCACGCTCGGAGTCCTGGTCCCTGACAACCCCCACCCCCCTTTCCCGCCGCGGCACCGGAGTAGCTAATTAGACGAACAAAAGAAACCTATTTGTTGCTCACTTCTTGCTGGGCAGCCTAAACTTCGGAAGAGCTAAGCTGGGAGAATTCCACGGAAGAAGTTAAGAAAGGCAGGAGTCGTGCACGACTTAGTGTTCTAACTACAGCTCCCCATCTTGCACCCCCTAATCCTACAAATCTGCAAAAGGATCTGGGAGGGACTCCCCATTACTGTGAATTCTGCCTGCTAGGAAGAATGAAAAAGGCCGGCAAGGGGTTATCAGTATCTCCAAGTGGGAAGGTGACTTTATTCGACTGGGTCACAGGAACCAACAACCAGAGAGACTGAGGGACAGGGAAGAACCAGGTATCCAGCGCCTGCTGGATGCAGGACGTTTTCTCATTCCATCTCTGCCAAAGTGGAAAGTTGGGGTAGGTCCCCATGTATCAAGACATGATGTAATTTATCGAGAAGGTTAGGCAATATGTAGGTGGCCATGCTAGGGTTGAAACCCACAGTTTGCTTTCCATGACAAATCATTCTTCCTCCCAGTATTTAACAGGGTCTGCTGGGCGGTGGGGGGAGGGGGGGGAGAAGGAACGCTAGGGATATAAAGGCAGCGGTGAGATACCAGCTTCTCTGGGCACGTGCTGACGTTGTGTGCACTATGTTGCCCTTTAGTTTTTCTTTCAGCATTCATGTTACATACAGTATCAGCGGTGAGGGGGCGCTGAGGTGAAAGGGCTTTTTTAAAACTTTTCTATCATTAACTTTTCTATTTTCAGCATTTACTCTGTGTTTGGTTCAGGAGACGGCCTAACAAGCATACTGCTGTCCTGCCCAAAAAGGATCTCTCTCTCTCTCTCTCTCTCTCTCCCCCCTCTCTCTGCCTTTTTAGTGGGCTACCTTAAAAGTTCTGTACCACTCAGTAAACCACCTCATTGGCATTTGAAAGCAAATCCATATGCACTCATTTTCCTTGTCCTATCAACTTGAAATTGTTGCCAATCATTTTCACAAAATCTATTAGCAGAAAATTCTAACCTTTGTATCATTCACATTACTTTTTTTTTAATCCTGAGGAAAATGGGTAATACTTTAGTATAAATTTTCATCAGAATCTGAGGTCCATTAAGTTCTAAGACTTGCGCACATAAGGAAGAATTATTGTTTTTAAACCTTAAGGTGCTAAGTGCCAGCTAATTCTTTTCTATCTAAATAATTAATAAGTGGAAATAAAACTAAGACTCCAAAAACAGCGCAGGAAATATTTGAAAAGTGAGTAGGGTCAGGGGTCCTTCCATCAATAAGTAGATCCTAAATCTTTACATGATACCTTGATTTAAAATGAGTAACTTCCTTTTATTAGAGCCACTAAAAGCTTTGAGCAGTGCTCTATTACAATAGGATTGATGACTTCTGAACTTTGACAAGATAAAAAGTACAAAGATTTGTGCGATCAACCTTTTTCCCCATCAATAAACGACATCGTTTAGGTTTGCCCTCATTAATGACCTCACAGAAAAAGTTTCATTGCAATGCCCCCCAACCCAACTCTTTATTTGAAACTTTCAAAGCTTTAGAAAAGTTCAGTTTGGTACGAAGACCATCCACCTAACCCTCGCCTAAATTCACCAATGGTAAAAATGCTACCACATTTGATATTGAGTTACATATGATTTGACATTTCATCTCTAAATGTTTCAGCAAGTGTCTCTTATAAATGACATTATTTTATACCATCATACTATTACTTTTAAGAACACAAACAGTAATATAGTATCATACATATATGAAGGTGAATTAGTTAAAAAATCACTACAAAGTAACAGAAACCTTTATTAGACAAGAATATCAACATATGAAGCTCTTGTTTCCCAGCATATTCTTCATCTAGGTCTGTAGACTTCTGGAGATGGTGTTTCCATCTCAAACCCTCTCCCACAAAGGATTCTGAGCTCTTTGACTTATATCTCATCTCAAAGGCAATGTTGAGTCCTTTAGGTACTCAATTCTTATTCTCCTCAAGGCTAGACATAGTTTGCTATGAAGAAGAATGAATGCCTTTGAATCACGATGCTGGTGAAAGACACTAAAAGTACCATAAAATGCCAAAAGAACAAATATATCGCTCTTGGAAGAAGTATAGCCAGAATTCTCCTTAGAAGCAAGGGTGGCGAGACTCCATCTCACTTACGTTGGACATGTTATTAGGAGAGACTAGTCTCTGGAGAAGTTCGTCATGCTTGGTCAAGTAGAAGGACAGTGAAACAAAAGGAAGACCCTCAACAAGATGGATTGACACTGTGGTCGCAACAATGGGCTCAAACTTAGGAACAACTGTGAGGCTGGCACAGGAGCAGGCAGTGTTTCATTCGGTTGCACACAGGGTCGCTATGAGTCAGATCTGCATCTAACAACATCAACAACCAGGAACTCAAATCATGTTCCTTTTACATGTTCTTGATTGCAGGGAACAGACCTGAAGAGGCTAAGTCAGGGGCTTTAGTGTGGATGGGGGAAAGTTTCCCATTGACATTCTCATTGGTCAGTCTTTACTATCCTTGAAAAGTGAGCAGATACATTGTCATGATGGAAACAAATTTGTTGAACAACTCCCCAGCCTTTTTCTCACCAATACAATTTTCAGTTTTCTGAAAACTTTTTCCTAATAAAATTCTCCTGTGACTTTTGAGAACATTTATAAAGATTGTCCCTTTGGATCCTCAAAAAGAGTAGCCCCAGCCTTCTGAGTTAACGGGCCTATTAGGATTTGTGACAACTGTCAGTTGATTCATCTGGCATGACAGGGTTGACATGAGGATTGAATCACTTACTTGGAAACTACCATTTTGATTGGACCCAACTCTCTGGGACATACTGGTGAATCCAAGACTCATCCTCAAGACATATTCTATAAAATCTTCATCACTGGCTTCTATCTTGCTTAAAAGACTGATCAAAAGATCAATCAACTCTTTGAGCTAGCTGATCTTCATCAACACGTTGGGCACCCATTGAGCCCAAAACTTGCTGGGGCCAAGATGTTTGCTTAAAACTGAAAAGACCACACCCTGTTTTGAGATACCAAGTTTAGTAGCTATCGCTTCAATGGTAATTCCAGCGACGTCTTCAAGAGTTTCTGGTCTTCCGCCACATTTCCTTCATTCATTAAGGCAGACAGTCTTTCCTTTCTTGGTTCATTTTGAGGTCTTCCTGGCTTTTTAAAAACACTTGATCCATCTAAAACTGTTGTTGTATGTGGGACAGCACTTCTATAAACTTGTTGCCAAGTCACAATGATTTGAGTACATGTCCACTTGGGTTTTATTAAAAATGTTCACTCCCTCAATGCAAGAACACTTTGTTCTTTTAAACTGGCATTCCATGATGTTCACCTTCCTGATAATATCGCTGAAGACAAAGTGGGTGCATAAGCAAATGTGGTGAAGAAAGCTGGTGGTGCCTGGCTATCGAAAGATAGAGCGTCTGGGGTCTTATAGGCTTGAAGATAAGCAAGTGGCCATCTCGCAGAGAACCAACAAAGCCCACATGGAAGAAGCACACCAGCCTGTGTGATCAGAAGGTGCCCATGGGATCAGGTATCAGGCATCAAAGAACAAAAAAATCATATCATTGTGAATGAGGGAGAGTGCAGAGTGGGGATGGAAAACCCATCTGTAGGCAACTGGACATCCCCTTACATAGGGTCTCGGGGAGGACATGAGCCATTCAAGGTGCAGTATAGCACCGATGAGACATACAACTTTCCTCTAGTTCTTAAGTGCTCCTCCCTCCCCGCCCACTATCATGATCCCAACTCTACCTTACAAATCCAGCTAGGCCAGAGGATGTGCACTGGTACATATAAGAGCTGGCAATACAGAGAATCCAGCACAGATAAACCCCTCAGGACCAATAGCAATACCAGGAGGGGAAGGGGAAGGTCGGGGGGAGAAAGGGGGAACCGATCACAATGATCTATGTATAACCCCTCTGAGTTAGTTAATTGTGCCAACCTGGCCGATAATCACATGTGGGGCTAATTGAAAGGCAGAGGGATAAATGGGTGGTGAGCCTCGCCTTTCTAGTTCTCGGGTCTCTTGTTTTGTGATGGTTGCACCGGGTGCAGCTGCCTTAGCAGTTCCCTGCTTCAGCTTGCAAGATTGACTTCCTATAAGACATCCCCAAGGAGAAGCTACATGGACCTATCCCGATGCAGCCCTGAGTGCTGGAGCAGCCGTGTGGAGACCCCTGCTAGTGCTGAGATGCTTGTTCGTTCACTGACTCAGCTTTCCTCCTGCA